CCCCCCCGCCAGGAGCCTGCGGCTGGAATCTGACAGACTACCTAAGCGACTCCTCAGATGCCTTTAGGACCCCAGCAGCCACCTGTTTTCCGCCCCCGGGGCCTGGCTGGGGGCCAAGCTGGGGGTCAGAAATGGGCCTTCGGACAGGCCAGGCTCAGGATCTCCAAGGGCCAGAAAAAGTCAAATGGATGCAACTGAAACAGCCTCTGGTTGCCCAGGGCCCTGGGGAGCCCCTGCACGTCCCCAGGCTCCAGACGGGCCGGGAGCAACAGGCCACGAGGGGTGAGGTCTCTCCTTGCTTGTTCGAGGTGAGCATGGGAGTCGGGGTGAGGGTCCTCTCACCCACCTTCAGGGCCTCGTCCACACCCAGCTCTGTGCCCCTGCCCACAGCGGCCACTAGGAGGGCCAGAGGTGGCCTGGGCTGGGACCAGCTAGGTCCCTGCACGGCCCCCTAGACGGCACCCTCCCCCCTCCCCCCGCACACTGACAGGCTCTCAGGGGCTGCCCAGGCCGCCCCCAGGGCCCATGCTCTCGGTGCCACGCTCCCCCTAGAGCCCAGCTCCTGCTTGACCTTTCCCTGCCCTGACCCACTCCACACCTCTGACCTTTGCCCTCCCCGTGACCCTCTCCTCACCGTGAGCCCCTGCAGATAGGCCTGGCCTCACACTCCACGCTGCTGGGCACGTGGGGCCACAGGGCTCCGTCCCGGACGCCAGAGCTGCCCCTGCCGGAGCCGCGCGCTTGGCCCCGACCGGGCTCCTCCCACGGCAGCCAGGGCAGGGCGCCTCCTCCCTCCCGGGAGCGGAGCGGACCGTCCTGGGCACTGGGGCTTCCGCTGAGCCGTCCACGCCCCGCCCAGGCCCTGAGGCCAGCGCTGTGCTGTGCTCACAGCAGGCTCAGCGGAAGCTGAAGATGACAGAGCGGCAGGACAGGCCGGCTCGCGGGCCTGGCGGCTGAGTCTCCTCAGGCCTCGGTTTCCCGCCCACACAGCAGCACCCGCCACCCTGCGGAGCGGAGCCAAGCCTGGGGGCCCGAGCGGGAGTCGCCCGCGGGCCTGGGGGGTGGTGCCCCTGGTCGAGGCCCGGGAAGCCGGGGTCAGCCCCAGCCCGGCCCTCCTGTGCCTCGGTTTCCCCCCTCCCCTCCCCCATGGCTTCTGCACGGCCCCTCTCGCTTACACAAAGCCAGGACCTCCCCCCTTCCTGACTCAGCTCCGGGGATGTCCCGGCCGGGGCGGGGGCGGGGGCGGGGGCGGGGGCGGGGGGGTCCCCGTGCGGACCGCCTGCCCAGCGAGCCTGGGGCGCCCTGGGGCTCTGTGGCGGCGACAGCGGTGGCCGCGGGCCTACCTGTACTGGAAGGTCATGTTGGTGATCTTGATCTTGATCTCCTCGCCCAGCCGGCGCTCGCCGGTCATCTCCAGCAGCTTGCTGGCCATCTTCTCGTACACCTTGGCATTGCGCTTGGTCTGCTTCAGCTCGTCGAAGAACTCCTCCCAGACGAGCATGAGGCCGCGCATCTCCGCGTCCGTCCAGTTGCGGGCCCGCCGGTGCTTCTCCGTCTGCGAGGACACGAGGTAGCCGGGCACCTCGGCCGCTGCCATGCCGGGGGCACCTGCGGGGTTAAAGAGCGCGCTCGGGCCGGGCCGCGTGGGGCCTGCGCACCACGGCGGCGGGAGCCCCGCTCCTGGAAGGCAGCTCCTCGCTCAAAATGGGGCCTACATCTGACAGGCAGGAATTTAGTTAAAAGCTTTTAAACGGGAAACGTCATTTTGATGTCACGTTTCCATAGCAACAGAGCAACTGCATAAGCTACAACAACAGAAACCTTTTAACTGAAAGCGCAGGAATCAGGGCCGCCTTGACGGGCCATCAATATTGCAGTGAGCGAGCCCGACCCAAAACTGGCGGCCCAGGCTCCCGGCCCTGCCCTGCGCCCCAGCCCTGTCGCCAGGCTGGCCGGCCCAGGCCACCGAACGAGGCACCTCCTCCGCTAGGCAGACCGGGCTCTTGAGAGGTGGGGCCCAGGCTGCAGCCCCCTGCCTCTGCCCAGCCCCGGCTCACACAGGCAGGGGCCCAGGGTAAGGGATTGGGGTGCAACCAAATGAGGAGATGCAGGTAAACAAAGAGGGAGACCCAGAGGAGGGGAGACGGCAGACAGAGGGGTGGGAGGAACAGAGACAGACGGGGAGACCGACACAGGAACACACTCTCGGGGACCCGCAGGGACACGCGTGGGCACCAACACCCACCCACCTGCGTGCACTGCACACAGCCATCCTCCGGCCAACACGCTCACACTTATGGTACAAATGCCACCACCACCAGGTTGGGCGGGGGCAGGGCTCCGGCCCCGAGCAGAACCATGGCTCGGCCACGCTCTGCCTGCTCCCCTCCTTGCAGGCGGGATGCTTGCTGGCCTGGGTGACACATGGGGTGGGCTGAGGAGCCGGCACAGTGCTTGAGGCCAGAGAGTAGCTGGGAGCGGGTGGTGTGGATCCCTCCCACCATGGGCAGCCCCACCACAGCCCTGACCGCCCTGCATCAATCGGCACCATGCACACCCAGACCTGCCTGGTCCACTTGGCTGGGTGGGCTGCTCCTGTACCCCACGACCCCACAGGAAACAGCTTGGGGAAGCCTTGCTGAATAAAGGAATGAGCAAACGAAGGACTGACCTCAAGTAAATCCCCTCCCTTCCCAGCAGGTTGCCTAGACTTCACCTCCGGACTTGCTGGCAAACTTATTCATTCTTCAAATCCCTGTTGTGGCATCAGCTCCTCTCTGAGGTCTTCCTATTCCATACACTTTGGCCCTTCTTCCCTTTTTCCCTCCTGTAAATTGGACCTTCCGTGAGCCACAGCCATTTATTTTCTGCCTTCCAGCTTTGTGACGCTTGCTAAGGCAACAGTGATAAGAATTCGAACACTCTGACTGCTGGGCCCTGTTCTAAGTGCAGTGTGTCTGGTACGTCTGTGTCTTCTGTTTTGATCCTCATGGCACTCTTGTGACGGAGGCTGGCACTGCTGTTATTCCCATTTTCCAGATGAACAGCCTGAGGGACAAAAGTGAGGTCACGCTGTGGTCAAGGAGCCAAGCTGGGCTCTGAACCCAGGCAGGCTGGCTCGGGGCTGGGTTTGATTTGTGTTGTGCGGTGGCCGCCAGGCTCCCCGTGAAGGACACCGTCACGCCTCCTCTGCCCAGGGTCCTGGATAAACGCCCCTGCTGCTTCCTGGCTTTCATGGGAGGCCCCCCAATGCTGACCTTGGACAGAGCGACCACTGGCACTGGCTGGGGTCCCCGGCCACCCACCCTCAGCAGGCCTCCGCCAGTGTCTGACTGAGGCTCAGGGGACAGGGACACGGACCTTCAGCACCAGCCAGGTGGTGCAGCGTAGGATGAAGGAGAGCTCTGCAGAAGGACCGGCCAAGAGAGGCAGCAAGGCCACCCGGCCCAGAGCACGTGCGGGACGGGCAGTGAGAGGTGGTGGGGCTGTAACGGGGAGGGCAGGACAGCAGGGCCTGAGAGCCAGGCTGGGGACGGGCCGCCACCTCGGCAGGGCCTAGGGACTGAGTGCCCACCGGGACTGGCCAGGGGGCCAAGGCTTAGCTGGGCAGAAGACCAGAGCAGTGGAGCCTGCGGGGGCTTCAGAGAGAAAGGCCACCTAAGGCATCGGGACTGAACATCTTGAAGGTAAAACTCAAGCAGGCGGCTTGCCAGCAAGAGCCCTCACACCTGCTGGATGGGCCGCGATGGCCACGTGGTGCCCCCGCCCCACCCCCAGGCCCACGGGCCAGCATGCCCATCTGTGAGCCTGCCTGGCATCCTCGGGGTTCTGGGGTGGCCTGAACTCGGGGGGGAGGGGCTCACCAAGTCCAGGCTGAAAACCTCCACCTTCAACAGAGGGCTCTCCTCAGGCCTGACTCCAACAGGAGCTTCTTGGTCTGAGCCCTCCCAGGACAGGGAAGCTGAGCCTGGGATGTGAGGCGTCCCCGAGTCCCCGCCCAGGTGCCCCACCCCCCGCACCCACGTGCCCAGAGCTCGCCCTCTGACACCCAGCGAGGCGGGCTGAAGCCCTAGGCGGAAGGAGGGGAGGTGCTCAAGATGGGGTGGGCTGGCGGGGCCCCCCCCCCCCCCCCCGCAGTCAGAACTTGGGGTACAGAAGGGGAGGGCAGCAGGGATCCCTGGGTCAGGGCCCGGGCCTGCCATCAGCTCCTGGTGGAGGTCCCTCCCTCTCTGGGGACACAGGGACACCACACAGCACCGCTCAGGAAGGCTGACAACTGCTGCACTCCTCTGGCCTGGGTACCTGACACAGAGCACTCAGTAGTGCTTGCCAAGTGAACGAGTGACCGCAAGTCCCACCTCCTCCAGGAAACCTCCCCCCACCCCACCGCCCCACCCTAGACGAAGGATTCAACCTACCAAGTGGCCCTAGCACTGGCTCTGTCCCCCAGAGCCTGGGCCAACCCTGACCATCCTCCAGGTGGACCTTTCTTCAACCACGACTCCAAGAACAGAGCAGGGCTGCCTCAGTGCATCCCAGCACCAGGGGCAGGGGGGCCAAGGGAGAGGCAGGCAAAGCCGGCTCAGGGTCTCAGACCCAGCTCCACCAACTTGGGGTGTGACTCGGCCGTCCCCGCCCCCCAGCCCCTGTCCTCACCTACAGTGGGGCTCAGAGCACAGGAGTCGTCCTCTCTGGACAAGTATCCACCGCCAGACATGCGGCTGGAGGCTGCAGCTTCAAGGCCCTGGGGCCCCTACCCGCTGCCCCCTCCCTCCCCCCACCCAAACCCTCCTTGGAGCTTTGGGAGAGGGCAGAGGCCCGTGTGCTGGCCTGGCTGGGGCTGGTGAATCGTCATCAGGAAAAGCTGCTGCCCCAGGGCACCCGGCCTGGTCAACCCCAGGACAGCGGGTCCCAATGCCTCCGCAGGGCAGCTGTGGCCCAGAGGCATCGCTGCCCGTGCTCAGGGAGGGTCCTGGCAGCCAGGCGGCTTGGAAGAGGCATCCACACCCCCTGCTGGGCCTCCAGCCAAACGTCCAGGAGAGTCAGGGTAAAAGGCTGGGCTCCAACGGTCTCTTCTCAGGTTTCAGGGGCACCGGAAGCCCTGGAGAGGGGGGACTGGGGGACGCTCCCGGAAGCAGAGCCCTCACTTTCGGCATCCAAGGACGAGGAGGGGCCAGGCAGGAGGGGTGGGCCTGTGTGCCCTCGGCTAGGCAGGGCTGCGAACCTCGGCCACAGGCCTCCGCCTCCCCCTGTGGGGGCTCAGGGCAGGAAGGGGCGTCCCTCAGGGGCCTCCAGCACCTCCTGGGAGCAGGCAGCGGTGAGCTGAGCCCGCCTCCGAAGGCAGGGGTTTGGCCGAGGAAGACCCCTCAGCTGGGCAGAGGCAGGGAAGCACAGGGAGTGTGGGAGATGGGTCCAGGCCCGGGCGCAGGCAGGGCAGAGCTGAAGGAGGGCAGGTCGGGAGGATGGACTCCCTGGTGCCAGGGGGTGATGACCGTGCCGGCACCACCATCATTTCCCCGTGGGCACGGGAGCCCAGACCGTAACTTTCAGTCCTCCGCCTCAGCAGGCAAAACCCAACCCTGACCCGACTGCTCCACTGGGCCAGCCAGCCTCTGAGCACGCCCTGGGCCGGGTGAGTGGAGGCCTGGCCAGTGGTCCGTCCCATCCACAGCACAGGGTGAAGGCCTGGGAGTGTCAGGCCCCTAGAGGACGTGGCCATGACGGGCCCCGGGTTTCCTGCTTGGAAGGCCAGTGGGGATGAGCCATCCAGATGGAGAAGCCAGGCCGTTGAGGCCCCCAAGCTCGTGGAAACTGCAGGACACCCTCATGGTTTCCCAAGAGCCCTGGTGACCCCACAAAGCAGGCCCACCCTGTGCCCACAGGCCCCGGGCCCTGGCAGAATGCCCCGTCCGGCGGCACCTGGGCCCATGGCCAGGCTACCCGGAGGGGTGAGGCCGGGCCGGGCACCCCCAGAGCCAGAAGGGCTCTCAGGTGCAGGTCAGGAAGCAAGGGCTTCCTCTGAAGACAAGAGGGGTCTTGCCCTTTACCGAGGGCACCTGTGCACGGTGGCTGGAGGGTGAGCGGGGGACATGCCGTCGCTTCTTTCCAGGGGATCTGGGGACATTTCCTTTCTGGAAACAACAGGTGGACCAGGTGTGCCGGCCAGGGTCTGGCTGCCTCACCTGGACCAGGGAGGGGCGGGTAGAGCTTAGGCAGCTCTGAAGGGTGAGCTGAAGGGGCCCTGGAGGTGTGTCGCAGAGGAGACACACCTGTGGAGGCGACATGACCTTCCCAAACGCGTAGAGCAACTCAGGTGGAAACGAACCCACGCGGCCCGTCCACGAGGCCCAGCAGCCAAACGCTCTCCGAGCAGCTTTCTGCCAACACTGCCCACACCTGTGGCGCCTGCGCACATCCCGACACCCTGTCTGCAGGCGTGTGCGGTCACACGGCCGTGACCACAGGCAGGGGCCAGTCCACCCGTGCTCGGCCGTCTCTCGGGGCACCCACCACGGTCGGGCTCGGGGCCGCCCACTTCCCAGAACTGGGGGGACTTCAGCAGACATTGTGAAGCGCCTGCCTGGGGCAGCCCGCAGCCCAGGGTCTCTGTGTTTGCAGGTTGGTGTGCAATCACCAGCGCCCCGAGATGACTGTGACCCTCACTACTGGGGTTCCCGGGGGCTGGGAAGGACGGTGCCCACTCACTCAGCTGTGTGGGGAAGACTTCCAGGAGGAGCTAGTATTTCAGGCGGGAAGAACTCACCGGCTCAAACAGACAGGGCAGCATCGTCTCACGCTGTCGCCCAGGAGCAGGGGGGCCAATGGCCAATGAGGCGGAAGGGGCAGCTGGACCGTGAGGGGCTCGAAACTCAGGTCGTGGCCCCCGAGTGAGCCCCCCACAACCTGTGCCAGCCCTGACCGCCCCTCCAGGGTAGGGCTCCGGGCGAAACCCCACGGTCCCTGGGAGATTCTGCCAGAACAGCTGCAGCCTTCGCGGCTGCGTGTGCCAGCAGGAGGCCCACTGCGAGGCGGCCCGCGGGTCACCTCCACAGCCCTGCACGGCCAGCCATCCGTACCAGCTGCCCCTGACCGAGGCACTGGGCTCGTACTGGTGTGGCAGCAATGTCTGCCTCCCCGCCGCGGGGTCTAGGCTCTCCACAAGCAAAGCAGGCCTCACCCAGCAAGCTATCGCTTAATTCTTTTAATTCATAAATACAATGTTTGTAGCGGTTTAAAAAATTAAAACGTACATCTCATGTCATCTTTCCCCTCACAGACAGTCACGCCTGGGCCAGGCTCCGGGATGCACCCATCGCAGCCCTGCTGGTGCCCAGAGTGGCAGGGACGGCGGGGACAGTGGTGGCGGTGCAGCATGAGCTCAACCCCCTGCCGATGGCCACTCCGCCACGGCTCGAGGCAGCGAGAACGGGCAGGTGGCCCCACTGAGCTCAGAGCCCAACCACCTTCGGCAGGTCCACGACGGCCACGATCCTCCAGGGCCAGGGGTCACCCTGCAGTGACTGTCTGGGGCCAGATGCTCCTACATGTGCTCGAGGGAAGTGGGTTGCTTCAGCTGCTTTAGAAAGTGCCAGGCCCAGGGGAAGAGTGACCCTGAACCCTCCAGGCCCCTTCCGGTTGTCACCACCACCTGAGTGGCCCCTCCCTGCTGAGCGCATGCCCAGGCCCGTGGTTCCCTCCTCGCGGGGGCACCCCGAGCTCCCCAGCGAGCCTTGGTGGCCTTCGGGGTGGTTTTCGCATCCCCGCCTGTTGCTCCAGCGGGCAGAACGGCCCTGAGTCTCACCCTGGCCAGGAGCTACACTTTCAGCCACGGCGCAGAGGGACAAAAGCCAAAGCGAGGCCACGTGCCAGGAAGAGACATCATCAAGATGGAACCGAGTCCACACCTGCAAACCACAGACAAGTGGCCCACGCCACGCGGCCCCGGAGGAGTTTCCCTGCGGCACAGCCGAGCGCAGCTCTGTGAACCGGCGCCGACAGCAGGGGCTCCCCTCGGCTCCACGGATGAGCCGCCCGCGCCCCAGGGCTGGGCAGTGACGCCCGGCCACGAAGGGGGCCCTCTGGGGTTCAGGGCCTCCTCTGATGCCACACTGTGGGTGTCTGGAGGCGCCTCAGAGTCTTCTTTCCTCCTGAGAGGATACAGGGCTGCAGGAGTGGGAGAGCCAGCGGTAAAGGGCGCTAGGAGGCTGGAGAACCCCTGCCTGGCTCAGGGGCCGCCCCGGGAGGCATGGTTCCGAGAAGGCGCGCAAGCGCATCGCCTACCAGCCCTACCCTGGTTTCACTCAGATCTTTCCTGTGTCACCAGCAGGAAAACAAAAACAACCCCGCAAAAAAACAGAAAACAAACCTGACGATCAAATCAACGATACTTTCAACAAAATTTGGATTGGCAATAGGACTGGTGCTCGCCGTAGACTTCCAGGAACTTGGTAAAGTCAGTTCCTTCTGCAGAGAGCTGACAAGGTAGACTATTTTCTCAGTGGGATTTTAATGACCCCATGCAGCCGACTCCACAGGGCAGGTCTAAGGAACGTCGGCTTCTACAGAGAACTGACGGCCATTCTTAGAGGCCTCGCCTGTGTCTTGATGAATATAGATACATACAAACACATCACACACGTACTCATCCGCGGGTAAAGTGATCTCACTCATAAACTCATATCCATTTCGGGGGCACACCGGCAAGTCTTTGGGTTGGCACCCAGGGCCAGAGCTGGGCTCAAGCCCCCTCGTTAAGCACTGGCTGTTACAGGTCACGTGGTAACAAGGAGGACCCACCAAACTCAGCTGAGCCCGGTGCTATTATTCCTAAGGGGAACAGTTCCCAGTTTTACATTCACAGTGCCATTTCTAACAAGCGTAAACATCTAGGCCGGGACGTCAGCCTGCGATGCGTCTATCTCGGAGCTGCTGAAATAACGTGGGAGTCCAAAGTGAAAAGGGAGAGAGAGCGGTGACTTTCTCAATTCTTGTTCAGAGTCAGGAGACCCTCCCCAAGGTCCTACTTGGACCTCTGACCCGTTTCTACTGTTCACGCCCTGGCCGGGCGAGGCCTCTGCCAGGCGCTGGTGGGGCAGGCAGGAAAAGCCAAGGGCGGCTCTGAGGAGGGGCTCCCACAGCCTCCCCTGGCCGCACACTCTGACCCCAGCCGGCCTCAAACCACGGCAGCTCTGGGGGTGGGAGCGGCCTGGGTCTGCACCCGCAGCTGTGTGCGCCGTGGTGAGACGTCGCACAGACAGACGCGAGGGTAGCTAGCCGTGCACCGAAGGACTCCTCCCCTTGGCAGACTCTGGAAGTCAGCTTCACGGTCATCTCCACTTGCTGGTGAAACACCCAAAACCTGACTGCACTTGAGCTCATGACCAAACTGGCCAGCATGACGGTGACCAAATGACTGGCTGCCTCTGGGGACCTGAAGAGCCCCGCCCGTAACTGCTCCACCAGCCCCTGGCCAAGGGCACTCGACTGTCCATGCCTCGTGTGCATTTGATGATGTGGCTGCTTTGGGCCCAGAAACAGCTGGTCCAGGGGCCGGGGCCTGGGGTGGAAGTGGTGGCCCTGGCTGGCCTCATTCCTGCCCCCCCACTGGTCCAGTGGGCAAGGATCCGCACCCTCCTGTGCTGAAAGGAGGCCCCGCGGATGGACTGAAAGGGAGCCGAGGAGGTGCTCGGGCCTTTCTCAAACAGTTGCCGGGACTCCAAGCTTTGCTCTTGACCAAGAAGGGCGCAGACAACTAACGCTGTTACACCCTCGGGGCTGCCAGGCCAGGCGAGCCTCTGGGCCCCACTGTGCAGGAGGGACACGGGGGACTCGGATTCCAACACCCGTTGGCCAGCCCCTGGGTAGAGCGCAGCCCCGGTCAGGACAGGAGCTGGGGGACGACAGTGTCGGTCAGGACAGAGGCTGCTCGCGGCCAGGCGGGCCGGCCTGGTCGGCTAAGTGCCCAGGAGCCGCCCATCACCGGTGGGAGAGCCTTGAGAGCCGTCTGTGCCCCAGAGCTGACTGCCCACGACCAGGACAGCCACGGGGGAACCTTCCCAACTTGTAAGGGGGCAGGGGGAACTCCCGGTCAGTCATCTGCATGCCAACACCTCCCTAAACTCTTAACTAAACGTGAATGCACAAAAAAGGGTGGCTTGTCGGGGGACTAGGGCTTGGGCGCGAGGAACGCCAGAGTAAGTTTCGTGGAGGGAGAGGGAGGGGCTCCTGTCGACCTCCTAGGAGGCCGTGACACGCAGCACAGACTCGGCAATGCACAGACTGTACACGGGCATAGAAAGTTACCTTAAAATTAATCTCTTTACTGATATAATTAAACTTTAAATCCTGAGAAGAAAACAGAGACAGGGAAGAACGGCGTGGGCCGTCGTGCTCCCAGCCACCCCGCCCCGCCCAGGCCCGACGCCAGTGCGGCACGCAGGCCTGCAGGAGCCAGCGAGACCCCAGGACCCCGTGCCTCAATGGGAGATGCGGGGGGTGCTCTGGAAGGCCCGTGGCGTCATCTCCCGCCTGCGGGACAGCAGAGGGGCTAACGGCCGACCTGCGAGAGCCGAGGCAGGAGCAGCTGGGACCCAGTGACAGCGAACAGGCCACACGCGAGGAAGCACACACCGGGCGACTGGCATGTGACGCTAGCGCTAGCATGGGGGCGGGGGGGTCAGCCACGGCTGCTCTTGCCCCCTGCAAGGACTTAGGCTCAACCCCAAGGACTCCTGCACACGTTCCCCGCACGCGGTGAGGCCGAGCCGTGCGGTGCAGGCGGGGCCCCGAGTCCTGGCGCCATCTCGCCTCCGCCCACGTGGGCGCTCAGCACGTGGTGACCTTGTGGACATTCCGCAAACAAGCCAGCAGGCGGTGATACGGGTTTCCTGGCACTGCGACCACCTCGAACACAGACTGGAAGGCCCTGCGGTCGAGCTCCTCCTCTATCTGGTGCCTGTAGAAGTCCGCGGCCACCAGGCAGAAGAGGTGCACGTCCACGTGCTCCAGCTTGCCCATCCTGCTCACGACGTGCGGAAGGCTGGCAGGGCGGTTAAGGGCGCAAGGCTGCAAGTGCGGAGGGACCTGCCTCCCGTCCTCCCCGGGAACCCCTGCCCCGACACAGGCCTGCCAATGGCCCGGGAGCGCCGAGTGCCAAGCCAAGCCGCAGACGGGGTGGAGGCGGCAGCTGCCTCCCACCTTGGCTCCGGTAAGCCAGGGCCCCCCGCGGAGAGCACTCCCCTGGGCAGCACCTACCTGGCCCGGCACCCGTGCGCCGAGGGCAGAGCCGTGCCGCCCTCCAGGGCCGCTGACAGCGCCAGGACGGCTGTCTGCTCCGAGGCTCTGCGGTCTGTCTTAGGGGGCGGCTGACAGGAGGGGAACATCCCTTTGGCAGCCAGCATCTTGGGGGTGGGAACCGGATCTTCACTTAAGCTTTTACCCAAGAGAGTGATACGAGGCAATGACACAGAATAAAGAGAAGCAGCACGAGGGACACACCCAGCTGCGCTGCGCGGCCGGCCCGAGTGGGCGGGAGGAGCTCTTTGCGGGGGCCCCACCCCCACCCCGCACTCCTCAGAGCAACGCCCCGGCCCCGCCCCTCCTGCTCAGCGTGGGGAACACACGGTTTTCTGTTTCCTTGTCCACGGCTTACTCTCTTGGGGCTTAAGGTAAACAACACCTTGACACCTGGGCTTTCTGCAGAGCTTAGGTTTCCAAAACCTTAACGCAAACGTCAACCTGGATGTTGACGGAACTGCTGCCCCTGAGTGCTACGTCCCGCGGGGCCCCAGGACCCAGGGAAGGATACATTGCTGAAACCCACGGGCTGGTGGAAGCGCTGACAAAGAAGCAGGAGAGGCTCCACATGGCCATGGCAACCGGCGTCCTCTGCGTGAAGTTGGAGAGGGACAGCATGACCCAGTCCCGGACCGTGGACGACTGCCCCGTGCTGTGCAGAGTCTGGAACACCTGCAAGGGCAGAGAGCCCCAGGGGCCACCCTGTCAGCACCGGCTTCGGGGGAAGAGTGGTGGCTGGCTTCAAGGGGAGGAACTGGCAAGTCCCCGGGTCCGACACGTTCAGAGGGTAGTGGGCACCTGGTCTGGGGGCTCCCCTGCGCTGGGCGCTCACCTGGTACACTACGGTGGCCATGAACTGTGGGTACGGTTGCTGATTGGACAGAAACTCTCCAATGACCTTGTTCATGACGTCCTGGGGCGGGAAGAAGTCATCTAGAAACTGGGGGAGGATCCGCGCCACCACTCTGGCTTCACAGGGAAACCCCTTCCTGATCCTGCAGGGAGGAGATACGGATCAGAGCCCCGCCCTGCCCAGGGCTCCCCACCCGTGCGGGGGCCCCCAAGCCAAAAAGGGGTCCTGGAGTAACAAGCAAAAATGGTTTGGGGCAGTGGCATTATGGGGGAATTAAGTCAGTCGTAACAGAACCGCGTCCTCGTTAGGGCCTGTCCTCACCAGTGTCCACACGCTCCTGGAACCTGTCGGCATCTCGGCCAGGCCCCCTTCTCTCCTGCCTGTCCCTGGTGCCCTCCTGCCACCTCCCCTCAACACACCCTCAGCGGGCATCTTGGGCAGCGTCCTTCCAGGTGCCAGCTGGGCAGGCGGCCAGCCGGCTACTCACGCTACCGTACCATTAGCACACACCGTTGGCCCTCCGTATCCGCGGGTTCCGCGCCCGAATTTCAATCCGCGGTTGGCTGGGGGAAGGCAGAGCCCGTGGATACAAAGGCGGATTGTTCTTCACTATTTTACACCAGGGACTTGAGCATCAGCAGAGTTTGGAATCCGTGGGGGGTCCCGGGACCAATCCCCGTGGATACCGAGAGACGACCGTACAGAAAAGCTATGTGTGACTGAAAAGCACCAGAAGAGACCCAGAAATTGGCCCAGGCGTGCCTGACCTACCTGCCTGCAGACGCCAGCCGCTGCCCAGCAGGGGCGACACTCACAACTGAAAGTCAGCTTTGTCAAGCCAGTGTCCCCCCACGTGTCTGGAGGGTGGTCAGGCTGAACGCCGGCACTGCACTGGCTGAAGTGTTTATCCCACCAGTAGGCACGGGAACGCAAGCCCCACGTGGGCAGGGGCCTGAGCGTGGGCGGCTCTGCCCACCGTGGAGGGGCCCGAAGAATGTGAGGGAAGAATGACTGTAAACGCTTTCAACGCTCAACGTGAAAACAGCCCACGCGCTCAGCTTCCCACAACCCCTCACCTGGCCAGAGCAGATGGAGAAAGTCCTGCTAAGTGTGCTCTTGTGAAACCCCAAATGGCCTCCTGCTGACCGAGCTGACCAGACCTGTCAGGCTGAGTGGTGAGGAGTCGGCTGCCCCAAGGCCACAGACACAGCACGTCGCCTGGACCAGGAGGCCTGGGGCAAAGCCGGACGAGGCCCCTCACCCATTCTGCAGGACCGCAAACTGAGCCGGTCCTGGACACAAGGGCACACACGTTGCGGGCAGGCTCTCAAAGATGTCTGTCATTTAAGTCTGTACCACGGTCTACTGAAGCCTCCTGAGCCACTGCTAACGCGGCTCCAAGACTCCTCTCACAAGGCAGCAGGTCTGACGGCCAGTCCCGTTACCGACCAGGGCTGCACGCCCAGTCTCATTACAGGCCCTCCCGACACCACCACATGGCCGGCACTGCCCCTCGCCTTCAGCAGACACGCCAGCACTGGGGACAGCCTTGGAGCCAGTCGAGTCCAAACCCGGGCACTGGGGTCCTAGGACTGCCGGCTGGAGCAGAGCCCGAGGGCAGCGCGAGCACGCTCAGGGCACAGGCAGGAAGGAGGCAGCCCCCAGTGGCGGGGTGAGAGCAGAGCGGGTGTGTAGGAAGCAGCAGCTCCCGGCAGGGCAGGGCAGGGCAGGGCAGGGCAGGGCAGGGCAGGGCAGGCTCCATTCTTACCTGTCAAAGAGAACAGACACACGCTCCATGGCCACAATCACTGACTCGCTGTCAGGGGCGGCAGGGCTGGGGTCTGAGGTTCTGCCTGGACTGATTTTCTCCTTTCCTGAAACAAAGCCATTCAGTTCTTTTCATTTGTAAAACCGGAACGGTTCTGTAAATAGGACCTGGAACTCACGCAGGAGTTTACTAAACACCTAGAGATGATCTGAGACCAGGTGGCGGGAGCCCCCAGCACCCCAGGGCCCAGCCCAGCACCCAGGGCCCAGGGGTCTGTCTGCAGACCCGCTCCCAGGCGGGGTTCCGACACCCACGCAGCTCTGCAACCTTGAGAACTGGAGGGGCCTGTGGTCTGCGTCCTGTGCGTCCAGAGCTCGGCGGCACTGACCCGCCGGGCACAGGTGGCCCCCTGCTCACCTGTGTACATACAGGTGAGCATCAGGCCCAGGGCCGCCATGGCGCGGTGTGGGCTGTGCACGTTCACTCTGTCCACGCTCAGCTTGACCAGGGACTCCGCATCCAGCCGGGAGAGCTGCTCGGAGAGCAGGAGGCGCTCCAGGCCCCTCAGGACACAGTGGTAAACGATGGATGGGGTGGACTCCTCGCTTCCAGACAGCATCACCCCACACATCTGGACGGGAGGGAAGGCCTCCCCGTCAGCCACATCTGGCCTCCTGTCGCTCATGCTGCTTCCCCCAGATGAAAGCAACCAAGGGCCCCACTGCACAGGCCCAGGAGCACGGAGCCCACGCCCACTCCCGCTCACCTGTATTATGGATGCCGAGAACTCTGGCCCGACGTCCAGCGGGTAGTTCTCAATCAGGTAGAAGGCCGTGGCACACATCACCAGCACGTGCTGCTGGCTGTGGGTGTTCACGCAGCTGAGAACGAGACAAGGGCCAAGCTCAGCCACGCATGGTGGCTACTCCCAGCTGATGGCACGTGGTGTCCTCCTGTCTCAGTGACCTCGGCCACTGTCCCTGTGAGAAGGGTGCCCGCCTGGGTTCCTGCTTGCCCCTGCCCATGCT